ATAGGTGATTGTCTTGGACAGCTGACCATTTAACAGGTTTGACTCTGTATCTGTTTTAACAAAATTAACAAAGTGTAGGCCTAGCCTACATGTTTAATTTTGTGTCTGTGGATAATCCCAACTTCTAATGTTATCACCATGGTTGGCTACCCTTTTTCGTCACTACGACCGTTACTATTTATTATATATAGGGTGTGTTGTTATTAGATAACTGTTGTTTTTATTGATCGATTTATTCATTTATTAATTCATTCCTTGAAGACCGAATAAAAAGCTAAAATATGATAACACATGACCCGCCTGGTCAGATTTTGTAGGCGGCCGTCAAGTTTCCTAAATAAATCGATACATAAAGTATCGAACCGAATCCCAGCATTACTCGAATATTTCGTCTTCCGGTGAAAACTGCGATGCATTTCCTTTGGAAATTTGGTGCCTCGGTGGCAGTTGTTTTCGCAGTTTATATCTTTTATTGCTTGGAAGTCGCTGATCGTGGAAGACGCGAACTCAGTCACCAGAAAGTCAAAATGGGAAAATTTCAGTATCCAACACCACGTAGAGACGAGACTGTTGCTGATAATTACCATGGCCAAGAGGTAAGTCTCAAAGATTGCTACACCCCTGATTCCAGCTCATGTGTGTTGTCTTACCTACCGGCTTCGCAACGCTTGGCTGTCTTTGTTTTCATAAGCCACACTCTGGCCTGGGCTCATTGGCCACACCAAGTCGTACCTTTCCCTCCTAGATTAGATCTAGATCTAGATTTAGAAGTCTCTAGATTTAGATCTACATTATAATATAGATCTATTGCATGTATCAAATGTATTAGAAAAATTTAGATTCCAGATCTATAGATCTAGATAGACAATGCGACTGCAGTCACAGGCAGGAGTGTCTAGATCTAGAGTCCATCCAATGATTTAAATTTTCCTCTTGGACTTGGACTTGGTCTTGGTCCATTCAGACCGGGCATTCTCTATGATCAATGATCAAGGCCAAGGCTGTCACTCAGTCAGTGTCACTGAGTCACTGTCATCTCAAAAGTTAGGCCGTTAGAGAATTAATTGACCGTCTCTATTAAAATTTCTCCAAATGTTCGGCTGGCTTCTCCGAACGTTCGAGAAAATAGGGCCTAAACTTGAACTCTATTTCTCCGAACAGTTTCCGTTCCCGAGATTTGTTGATAATAAATGGAATGGCCCGTGTATGTGTGTGTGTGTTAGCGTGCGTGCCTGTATATTGTGTGAGTCATGAGTGGGCATACGTGTGTATGTCTGTGTGTGGGGGGGGGGGGGGGGGGTTGAGGGATTTTTTTTTACATGATATTAGTTTTTGCTGGGTGACTAAATGCAAAATAGGTTACTGCCAAGGTCGAGCAGTCTTGTTTTCTCGCAGTACCTATTGAAGGTATTTTCAAATGAATGTGTAGTCCGGGAACGTTGCCTCAACCACAACTGAAGTATCTGAATATATTCTTAAAAATCTCTAGATCTAGCTGTAGAAATTGAATTTGATGCAAAAAATGCTTCTTCCCAGTCCTCGCAGAATGGCAGAAATGAAAGGATGACGCCTAAATCTTGCAAATAACCCAAAAAATCTCAAGGTCGAAAACCGTTCGGAGAAATAGAGTTCAGCTTTATTTTCCCGAACGTTCAGAGAAATAGTCACTTCGAAATAAAATTGAACTCTTTTTATCCGAACGGTTTCCGTTCTACAGTTGTTTTGGTTTGCGAATGGAGTGGCCCGTGTGTGTGCGCGCGCGTGTGTGTGTGTGTAAGGTGTACCAGGGGGGACGGCATGGAGGGATTTTTTTGTGATTTAGTTTTCGAAGTGTATACAGACCCGGTAAGGGGGCTCTCGTTGCCTAGAGGTTAAGGTGTTAGCCTCTCATTCAAAAAGTCCCGGGTTCGAATCCGGGTAGCGACAGAAAAATTTTCTTCTCTTAATTTGTCTCCTTTCACCTCATTTCCTGCTCTCTAGCAATGTTCTGTTGTCTGCTTTGGTCTCCTCTTTCTGGACCCACCCCCTCACCTCCTTTGCCCCTTCCTTTGGGCTCCTGATTCTTTCTGCTGCCTTTCTACTTCTACTCCTTCGCTTCTTCTTATTGCTGTCTTTCAGCCACACTCCTGATCTTCTGGTAGGAAAGATCTACGACAAGGGCGAAAAATCTCGGAGGGCCCGTGCACAAGTTGCGCACGATAAAGATCCGTTGGTGGTCTAAAATCGATAAGAGTAGGCTTCGGCCGCCACCCGGGCAAAATTCAAAATTTCCTACCAACTGAAAATATTAGGTGTGTCCCGCGCGCTCATATGACCTTATGCAGTTGCGAGCGCCGTAAAACACTTTACAAAAAACAAACAAAAAGACCCGGTAACCAGGAACAAAGTCACGACAAAGTATACAGACCCGGTAGGGGAAATCTTTTGTGATTTCGGAAAGTTTCAGCACCCAGACTCGAGAGAGAGAGAGAGAGAAAATGAGAGAGAGAGTGTGTGTGTGAGAGAGAGAGAAAAAGGGGGGGAGAGAACACGCAGAAAAGGGGGAAGGGCTAGCAAATATCACATGCCCCAGTTGACCGGAGGGAACGAGAGAAAGATAGAGTGAAGTAGGTGGGGGAGAAAGAAAGAGACAAACAAAGAGAAAGAGAAGGCGAGCGATACACAGAGGAGAGAGAGAGCGAGAAAGAGAGAGTGGGGGCGGGGGGGAGAATTTTTTATAAATAGAAATTATGACCTTGTTATTTTCTTCAAATTGTCTTTTTATTAGTTCCTTCTACTCCAAACGGAGGAAAAACGGTTGTTCATCGAAAAGACATTTAAATTTATAAGCAATCTTCATTTAGATCTAGATCTAGGCCTCGAAGCTCGATCTATGATTTATAATGTCTGTTTGTCAAGATCTAGACCTGGGCCATGCCATAGATCTAGAAGAACCTAGGTCTACCCTGAGCCAAGAGGGTGCTGAAACTTTCCGAAATCACAAAAGATTTCCCCTACTGGACTGTTTTGAGGGCTAAACTGCCATAATTTTTACTGCAAGACACACACATTTATATGACCACCAAAACCCTTGCAAATCAATTGTTTTCAAGTAAAATATCAATCTTAATTGCCAAAACATCAAATCATGGTGAAGTGCAGGGGGGCTTGCCTCCTTGGAACCCCCTAGATTCTTTTTAGGTCAGGGGGGCGTGCAAGTCAAATTACATATATATATATATATATATTACTATGCCATTATTTGTCCTATTTAATTATATAAAAACATCTATAAATCTCATTAATAACTTGCTGTAGATATAATATACGAGGGGGGTTCAATTATAAGTCGTTGGTCTGGGTATGAAGGAATCATTGTAGAGTTATACAATTTCACCAGCCTTTAGACAATTTCTTTGGGATTGTGAGTGTATCATCATGACTGACTACCTGGAAAATGGAAAAACAGACTCGGGTTTGCTGATAAAATTGCGGTCCGAATTGGTGAGAAAAAGGCTCAGAAAACTCCGTAATGGGGTCCTCCCACTGCATGACAACGCCCATGAGCACAGAGCACAACAAGCAGTCCAGACAGCAGAACAGTGCGGCTTTGAAATCCTGCCACACCCAGCTTATCACCAACCAGACCTGGCCCCCTCAGACTTTTCCCTGTTTTCTTTAATGTTAAAAAAAAAATGCTCAAAGGACTTTGTTTCCATGACAACAAGGACGCCATTGAAGCTGAAGACTGGTTAGAGGTCCATTCTGGGTCATTTTTCTCTCAATAACTTTTGAAGGTCAAAGAGAGGTGGAAGAAATGTGTTCCTCTGCATGGTGACTATGTAGAGAAATAAAAGCATGTGTGCCCAGTTACAAAGTTCTATCTTTATTCCTTCATATTTTTAGACCAAAGACTTCTTGAACCTAGGAAGCCTAGAAAGTGAAATTAAAATATGCTGAAAAGCAGGGTGTAATGGGATTTCAGTAACAATTCTGAGTTGGAAAATGACTCGGACTCTAGAGATATAAAATTTGTCTACGATACAATGGACTACCTTTTGAAAAATACACGTTCAAGGTTCGAGCTCTCAAAAGAAAGGAAGTATCATACGTATGTCTATTTTTAACTTTACCAGTATTATAGACATGGATTTGGAGGATGGATGGAAACATGTGTATAGAATTAAGGGAGATGAAAACAACACACTCTGTGTTGTTCTGGCGGATGGGGATAAATGGAAACAGCGCAGAGCGTGTCGTTCTGGCCTAAAGCAGTAAGTCTGTATGGGTACTTTTTACACCGAGACAAAAAACTAGTTTTTAAAATTATTGTGCTGTTCTCCTATCAAGAATCATGAAAAGCAAGAAAATTGTAAGCCTTAACCATAGCATTTAACTGCATTTTGGTGATGCTGAAAGAGATACGTCTTTAAATATAGAACTTTGGGAGGACTTACTTGTGTAGATTGCTTACGACAGTGACGATATTCCCAAAAATTGATGATTGTCTGATTCTTCCACATTGGAACATAATATTAATAATATTATAATGTCCCTTTTACTCCTTTTTCATTTTTAGATATTAATGTAATTTTATAAATAACAGTTCAATTTTTGTTAATTTTGTATCTATCTTTTATTTTTTTTAAAACATCAAACAAACAAATTATATTGCATGACACTTTTGTTTACCTACAAAACAAACAAATTTAAAGGAATTTTATAGGTAGGTCTGCATTTTGTTTTTTGTTTTTTAGGAAGGCTTACTGAAGAGTAAAAGCATGCATGTATTGACGAGTATTGCAACTGTTAAGAGATTTTTAAGAAAAAAATTCAAGAGGAAGGTTAAAATTCATAAACTGAGGGTAGGATTAGTGGTCAGAATTATTAGCATTTAAGTTTGATTTTAAGTTGAAACCTTGCCAGGGAAAATGTTATCTCAATACCCTCTAGTCCATTGACTGATATTTTAGTGTTATTATTTTACAGTGTCTTAATTTTCATATTGACTGATATTTTAGTGATATTATTTTACAGTGTCTTAATTTAATATGCACTTCCATAATGTAACCTCAATTACTCTATCAGCTCAAATCAAAGTTTTAAAAGTGGGACCTGTTTTATTTTCACTTGAGGAATTATTTTTGTAGAAAATGTATCCGGTTGTTTGTCTTAATCCCAGGTGAAAGATCCTTACCGGTGGATGGAAGATCCTGATGGAGAGGAAACAAAAGCCTTTGTTGATGCTCAGAACAGCATTTCGAGACCTTTCATTAATGCTTGCCCTGTGAAAGAGCAGATTCAAAAGCGGTAAATCCTTTTTTCTTTTCTTTAGAAATATAAAAATAAGGGTAAGGTGTTTGGATCCTGTTAGTGGCTGCACTTTTTGCTGTCCCATATATTGCATCTGTTAAATGCAGAATCTGAATTTTATGTCTCCAAGATTTCAACCTTTATGTTTTGGATTTGAATAGGTGATTTACCAGCAAATTAAATTATATTTCAGAACTAACGTTATTAGCTCTACTATATTGCCAATTGTTTCAATTTCATCATAGTAGTTCCAGTTTCATCAGATTACTTGTTGCATTTTTGTTGCATGTTTGCCTCTGGATTTAGTGTAGACATCCAGAGTAGGGCTACTTTTGAGTTTTAAAGGCTGTAGACTGTCTAAGACAACCACTTTTCTCCTCAATAATGAGTAGCCATCATAGACAATTTTGACTATAGTTTATTCCACATATCTGAAATACGATTGTTTTTAATGATGTATAATATACGTGAATGTGCGGTGGCGGAGCGCCTAGCGCGCTCGTCACCGAAGCGGAAAGTCTGGGTTCGAGCCTCGGTTCAGACACAGATTTTTTTCGCCCTCGCCTGCCCACCCAGTAGTAATGGGTACCTGACTTCGAGTTGGGGAAGTAAAAGGGGCGTGGAAAGGAACTGGCCGCCCTACCACAATATGCTGAAAGCCCAGGAAGTTGTCTCACTGACAAGGCAAGGCAATCCCTCATGTCCAGATCGGATGCGGGAACAACTTTTCTTTTTTAGAATATAAATATTTCCTCTTGTCTATGGGTTTCGTCCACAGCATTACTGAGGTCTGGGATTACCCAAAATATGGCTGCCCTAAAAAGCATGGCGACCACTACTATTACTTTCATAACTCTGGGCTGCAGAACCAAAGGTGAGCTTCTTACCTCAAGGACCAGGTACTTTATTGTATTATCTTTGACGTGTTGATTTTTATACTCTGTAGTTCTGTGTTTAGCTTTTGAACATGGGTTGTTCAGGGAGTTTTCATGGCCCTCAACCCAATTTGGGTCAGTCCTGTCAAAATTTTGTGTTGAATCCACTTATGTAACCTCTCAGTGCTGAAATCCTACTACTAATGTCATGCTACTGGCTATCAATTTTGTTCCACAGGTCTTTGAGAGTGGAGCACTTGAATCTATGTATTGTTTCAGTATTCTTCGGTTGGTCACACTTGTGAAATCCGATTCATTTGTCATACCAGTTCTTTTACCTATCTGCTGAAGTTGAGCATGATGTGTTGGGTCCTCCAGTGACAAATAATAGCTTATTGTGTGCTGCACTGCTATTTTATCGGAGTCTATGATGTAACTGTTTACCTATTTACTGTAACACACTCAAGACATTAGTTCAATTCCCTTGTGGAGAAGTTATTTCTTCAGCTATCTCCATTTCAGTTTGGCCCTGGCAGACAGGAGTTGTTTCTTTTTTGTTTTTGTTTTTGGTGGGGAAGTGTTTTACGGCACTTGCAACTGCATAAGGTCATATGAGCGTACGGGTCACATTAAACATTTTCAGTCCTTAGGAAATTTTGCCAGAGTGGCGGCCGAAGCCTACTCTTATCGATTTTAGACCACCAAGGGATCTTTAATGTGCGCAACTTACACACGGGATTCCGAGATTTATCGCCCTTGTCTGAGAAGGCTAGAGGTGTAGATCTATCCTACCAGAAGATCAGGGGTATGGTTGAAAGATTGAAAGTGAAAGACAGCAGTAAGAAGTAGTGCTGTGTGATTTTGAGTTGTTTTTTTAAATCATCGAAGCTTCGAAGTGCGATGTCACTATTCGTGCTATTCGAATATCGTGTGTGAATAGTTCTTTCTTATATGTACCGGTACATGTAGGCCAAAGGCGAGGCCTAATGCGATGAGTCAGTCTGTCAGCAGCATTCTTTAATTCTTTATTGAATATTTACTATTTACAGTCACAGCACTAATCTGTTCATCCAGTGATTCTCAGCTCAGTGTGTGTCTGCCTCTTTAAGTAAAGCACTTATGGCTTGCGCAGCGCATGCGATGATGAAACAATGTTTTTTTTTCGCTTTTTAAAAATAAATAACAAAAAGGCGACTGTTGCAGAGGGGAAGTAATAAAAACAGGCAACCACTAGTGTGTAGTTTCTGCTTGAAAAAAAAAAGGGGGGGGGGAGAAATCGACAAGAGAAAAACTTTTTACCGAGCCAGCAGCGATTGATAGATCTAACACACATGCGACATGCACACTGTCGCTGCGTCGCCTAACACTACTGTTTGCTAGGTTGTATTGTCTTTGGGAGGTTCTTTTATTGGTAGCTTTATTTCTTTATTGTTCTCAAAATAACTGCTAATCAATCCTTCCCATGCGTTTGCTTGACATGGTACAATTTGATGAAATCGCACTAAATTTAACTTCACAGATTTACTTACATATAAGCTAAGACTTCAAGCAGTAAGTGGTTGAAAAGGTTCAAGAAAATTCTGTTGGCAGTATAATAGGCCTAATAATAACAATACTAATAGTAATTATGCATGTAATTTTGAACAAATAAATCAGAAACGGAATACAAATTTACAATCTGAAGGACAATGTAATCTCTGAAATAACATCAGTGCAACAATCAAAGAACCGGCCTATAATGGACGAAAGCAAGGGAACAGAATGTACTCCAACAATCAACAATGCAGTCATAAAGTAAGAGAGAGCACAGACAATGGAATAAGGATTGAGAAAAAGGACAATGCTAGTGTAACAGCAAGGTGTGTAATGTGTATTTTTAGCCTTGCCAGCACGGCTTATTATATTCTTAATCTCTCCTTTCGTTAGTACCTCAGCAAGGTGTGTAATGTGTATTTTTAGCCTTGCCAGCACGGCTTATTATATTCTTAATCTCTCATTCCGTTAGTCCACGCCTGCTATTCCCCCCACAGTACCTAGGCCTACCCACAAATTGTATAAACCTTTTGGATCTCCCCACAAGTAGGCTATGGTGGCTGGCTTTTGGGGGGGGGGGGGGGAATGGGGTGGGGGGAGGCTCGGTTTTGTTTTTTGTCAAAACATGTATGCAAATTCTCATTATTATTATTGTTAGTTTTTGTATTAACATATTCTAGAATGCTTTCCTATTTTATCCAATTCTTTTTTGGGGGTTTGCAGTGTCATGTACGTCCAAGACAGCCTTGATGCTGAGCCAAGAGTTTTCTTGGACCCCAACAAACTGTCAGACGATGGGACTGTGTCTCTTAGGGGCTCTGCCTTCACAGAGAATGGCCTGACCTTGGCTTATGGCCTCAGTAAGAGTGGCTCGGACTGGATCACTGTCAAGGTATATAAAGTCTGTGTTCCCTGTGTTATCAAAGTCTGTGTTTTCTCTGTGAATAGATTCAGTATTCCCTCTATGAGTAAAGTCTATATTCTCCCTGTGAGTAAAGTCAGTATTCCCTCTGTGAGTAAAGTCTGTGTTGCCTTTGTGAGTAAAGTGTGTGTTCTTTTTCCTCTGAGTAAAGTTTGTATTCTCTCTATGAGCAAAGTTTGTATTCCATCTGTGAGTGAGTAAAGTCTATGTTCCCTCTGTGAGTAAAGTTTGGGTTCTGTCTTTGAGTAAACTTTGTGTTCCCTATGTTTGTAAAGTCTGTATTCTTCTCCCTCTGTGAGCAAAGTCTATGTACTCTCTGAGTAAATTCTGCGTTCCTTCTGTAAGCAAAGTCTTTGTTTCCTTTGTGAGCAAATGCTATGTTCTAAATATGGGAGCAACGTGTTTCCTTTTCTTCTTTTCTAAGCATAGCACTAGCAGGATAATTCTGACAAAGCTGTAATTTGAAGAGTGGTATTTGGTAGGCCAGCTAGTAGAGTATGTTGGTAATCAATTCGTGAAAACGAGAAAGATGGCACGAGAGTTTTCAGTGAGCACTCATTCAAATAGATTGACACATATATGCAAAATTAGCAAAAGAAGAGGGTACATAAATATTTGACGTGATATTCAATTATTGACTATTTAAATTAAAATATACTTTCAACTTTTTTGCTGTATCAGTAAAATACAGTGCTCATCAAGAGAAAGTACAAACATTTTGGAAGCTTGATGGATTGGAAAGATGTTGACTGAGATGGGCAAAGAGTAATTCTCCCTTATCCTCCATTGCACGTCACTAATACCCAATCTTTAAATCAAGCACTTATAGGCAAATAAGAGAAAAGTGCACCCTACCATTTGTTAACAAAATTTCTACTGCCAAACGGGCTTAAAAACATCCCTTCTTATTTTTTGTGTGTTTCTTACTTTCTTTTAACGCCTCTAATCTTCGGCACTTGTATGACCTAATTGTGTTGCAAATGCCATGAAACTCTTACCAAAATGCAACGTCCGATTAACTATCTTTTTGTCTATGTAACAATGATAATTACACTTCGCCCAGTCAAGAGAACTTGGCCCTCTTTTTCAAAGTGACATAGGCTCTCTTTTTCAAAGTGACACAGCTTTATAACCATCCACAGAAATTTTTTTCCTCCACCCTTCTCATTCCTAAAATACAGGTCTTAATAGATGAGGCCTTCTGTAGATGGGGAAGCAAATTACATCTTAAAAGTTACATTAAAAAAGAGCTGTATCTCATAGCACAAAAATGCTAATAAGTAGCAACAGTTGCAAAGCTTATCAGTTTGAAGTGTACATAATGGAGCCAGGAGTATCAGATGTATAGTATGATGTCTACTAGAGACCAATGGTCCCCCCTCTTGAACCATCGTACCGATGAGATGTGGACAATGACTTTACATCAATGACCCTAGCCTGGGTACTCACAGCCAGTGGTTCACACTTGCAGGCATTAAGAGACAAAAAAGCACTGGACTGCCAAAAGACCTGGTGATTGGAGGTTTGCAGGTGCTCTGGTGTACCGTGTGGTTTGCTCCTTGTTCCCTAACAAGCGTCTATTGTTCTTATCTCTTCTCCTTCTTTTTTTGGGTTTGCTACTCTCTTGTAACACTTCTAATCTTATATGACCTAATTGTTTTTGGAAGTGTCTTAAAGCTTGCTTACCCCCCTGGGCAGTGCCACTGACTGTAGTGTCTTTAGGCCATTCCCAAAGGGGTGACATTTCTCTTTCAAGCATAATAGAATTGTAAATGGGCTGACTTGTGTCCCGCTCATAACTGCCTGATCTACAACAGGGAACTGCTGCTTTTTCTTTCCTGATCCATACTATTGTCATTTTCCTCTACTTCTTTTGTATGTTTGTCACTCTCTTGTGAACTGCTATTTCCGGGGTGCCTTGATAGTCGAAGCAGACCTTGTGCTGTTGAAGCTAGAGTGGTGAGCAGTCTAAGTCTGATTCCCTGTAAAGACTTCTCTGTTGACACCCGCCCCTTGGCGCTCATATGACCTTACGCAGTTGCGAGCGCAGTAAATCCCTCTACTATAAAAAAATAAATAACCCTTGCTTGGGTACTCACAGCCAGTTGTGCAAGCTTGCAGACATTGGGAAACAAAATAGTGCTGGATTATCAAAGAACCTGATGGCAGGATAACTGGAAAAGAGTGCCATAGATGTCAGACATGTGTGTCACATAGTTGCCTTCTGGTGACGTGATAGACTGGGTTTTTTTCTCTCTAAGTACCTCTCATGATCCCTTTGAAGTAGTCGGTTACTACTCACTATGCAAAAACTGATAAAACCTGTAATGGTACTTTGTACTTGACTTCTTGAAATGTGAGACTGGTTGTTGGAGGACACCAATGGTAGGAAACCAAGTTGTGGTGCATGCAGGATAAGGTCCCACTGTGGAAAGACTCTAGCTGCTTAGAAAAATTACTCTTAAATCTTTGACTAATACCCAATAAAGGACAAAAAATTACCAGATAGTGTACAAATGCTGGTGGGGGCTTTATAAATTAAAATTTCCCCAGTTGTGAGACTGTGCTCTTGTAAGTCTAAAGCTGAAAATGGTCTAAGGAGACATTAAAAAAACCAACTATGATAAACAATAACCAAACTTTCAAGCCTGAAGTATATTTTAAAAATTTTGACCATTTTTCAAAAGGTCCTAAATCTTAACTGACAAAGATAAAGTTAAAAATTTTTCTTAACTTGTATAGTTTTATAGGGACGTGTTGTTTAGGAGAGTTTTTTACTTTTATGCTATATATAGTAAAGAATATTTTTTAAAAATATTTCGAACTGCTGAATAGAGCTTGCTTTGGTGGCTCATTTTTAGTAGTTAGTGTTTCTACCTTTGGAGGCATCCTCTTTAGGAGTGCGCAAGTACTCTAGTCCCCTCGAGTGCTCAAGTATTTAAACCCTGCAAGATCTGCCTTTGAGTAGTTTTTAAATACCCGAGTATTCGCTCAAGTCTAAAATTTCGGAGTACTCAGGTAATCACTCGAGTTTTCATTCCAACCCCCCCCCCAGATGGGTCTTTGCAGAAACAAAAATTTTGCAATTATGGCCATTTTTGTTTGTTGCCGCATTGTTGGAGTTTTTTTTTGCCCCTATCTTTTCTTTGTGTACTGTTTCAGATCACCTCAGTAATTTTGAAACTTTTGTTTGTTATACTACTAATATTTTTTTCTCCTGATTTTGTATAATTATTATTTTTAATAAATGTGAGGCAGTGTGGCGAAATCAGGCGCTCATCAAAATAATAATGTGAAGAAACTGGCATTTTCCGCAGGTTTTAGTTTTTTTTAATCGAATTTTTTGTTTTTCGGCTTTAAAAACTTTTTTTAGGACCAAAAACACATTCTGTGGGGATTTTACTTGAAGTGATTAAATGCACGAAAGATGTTAATTTTCAGTTTCCATGGGCTCTCAAGCTAAGGAAATAACTAACCTTTGGTGGTCATTTTCTTTCTAATTTTACCTCTGAAACCAGGCGACCCCACCTTCTTCAGTCGCAAATATCTCGACTTGTATCCAAGATAAATTGGTATTGTATTCATCGAAATTAAGGCAAATGGACAGGCTTTAAGATGTCACCAATAACTCCATAGGCCGAAAAATTGCAGAGCGCCGGATTCCTCCTCATCGTAACACAAATTGTAAAAATTTAGTTGAGGGATCAGAAAATAATACGCTTAGCCTGTGCTCAAGATTTGAGTACTCGAGTATTTCTTTTTTTTTTTTTTACTCACTCCTAAGCCTCACACTGTAATAGCAGGGTTTTTTTTGTATATGAGAGCTCAATAATCTGCAAGATGTTCCTCTGATAAAATAGAGCTATTTGTGCGTGTGGATCATGGTTGCTCTGGTGTAGCTTTCTCTTTTTTTCCGATCAAACATCTATCATCCAGATCTCTCCTTCTTCTTCTTTGTGTTTGTGACTCTTGTAACATCTCTAATCTTTGGCACCTATATGACGTTATTGTATTGCAAGTGCCATAAAATCCTTACTAAAGCTAAAAATGCTATTTGTTTATGCCTGTGTTTTCCAGACCTGGCCACTAGTACTAACCCGTTTGTGGGTGGTTGGCGGGTGCTCTGGTGTGGTCTGCTCCTTCTTTCCTATCAAACATCTATCATCCTTATCTCCCCTTCTTCTTTTTTATGTTTGTTGCTCTCTTGTAACACCTCTAATCTTCTGGCGCTCATATGACCTTATGCAGTTGCGAGTGCCATAAAACCTCTACTAAAACTAGTACTAACCCATTCCAGTGGTTCTCTCCTTCAGTTCAAGAAAGCCCCGTCTGGTGAGGATCTTCCTGATGTTTTGGAGCAAGTCAAGTTTTCCAGCATGGCATGGACTCATGATCACACCGGCTTCTTTTATAATGTGAGTGTAGCACAATTTGATGCGTTTTGTTACCTTGGTTATTGTTCCTGTAGATGGTTGACCAGCGGTATGGTGTGGTTTGCTCCTTCTTTCCTATCCAACATATGTGAGGCATCGTGTTGAAATCAGGTGCTCGTCAAAATACTGAAATGGAAGAAGCCAGCATTTTTCTGCTGGTTTGGCAATTTTTATCGAATTTTTGTTGTTTGGCTTAACATCTTTTATGTCCGTTTAAAAACGTATTTTTGTGTGGATTTTTCTGAAAAACATTGATTAAAGGCACAAAAAATGTAAATTTTCAGTTTCCAATGACTCTTAGGCTATGAAAGTTACTGAACTTTGGGGACCATTTTCTCGCTAATTTTACCTCTGAAACGAGACAAACCTGACCTCCTTCGATCGCAAATATTCAACTTCTGTTCAACATAGATCTATTTATTTTTTTCACTAAAAGGAAAGCAAATGAGCAGGATTTTAGATGATACCAATTACCTCGTATGTCCAAAAATTGACGAGCACCTGATTCTACCAAGTAGTGTCACATATAAGATAAGATACCTCTTTATTGTCCTGATCCTGGCACATTGGTTTGGTGTTTCACCACGTACACACTTACACATACACACACACACACACACACACACACACACACTCACACACACACACACATACACAGGCTTACAGTTTCATGCATAATATAAATGAAGTTAATAAACCGTAATATAAACAATAATAATCGTAAGCTAGATACATACTCAGTATTCTAACTGTAACTAATTATTCCAATGCATGCTCTAAGGTCGTATGAATACTTGTAAATTTATCAATTTAATATATCATCGTAGTCTCTCGTGGGTGGTTGGCGGGTGCTCTGGTGTGGTTTGGTCCTTCTTTCCTGTCAAACATCTGTTGTCTTGGTCTCTCCTCCTTTTTTGTGTTTGTTACTCTCTTGTAACACATCTCTAATCTTCTACACTTATATGACCTTACTTTGTTGCAAGTGCCGTAAAATTTTGAAGAAAATGAAAACTCTCGTTCTTTCTTTGTATGGCATTTTTTGGAAACAACTCTAATCTTTGGCACTAATATGATGGAATTGTGTTGTAAGTGGAGTAAAGCTATTAATAAAGCTAAAAATGTTGTTTTTTAATTTAATGTCTATCAAAGTGAGATTTGTATCAAATATTTTTGTCACTCAGCTTTAGTCTTTTGTAATGCATTGTTTCCATGCAACTTGGATTGGCCCTGACTGATAGGGTGGAAGCAGCCTACCTCTAGAATGATCTAAATTATGTCAATTGTGCCCTCTGAATTTTTGGAATTAAGACTTTGGTTGGTGAGGTAAAGAGAGAAGATTTACCGCAAGAGTGTGAGTCATATTAATTTTTGGTGATGGAAAGGAGAAACAGTGAAAATAATTAGGGAAAGGGATAAAGATGTGATGATTGGTTTACTTCTGCTTATTTGTATCGTATCGTTTAATGGTCATTCCCAGAGTTACCCGAATCAGGAAGGCAAGGTTGACGGTACAGAGACCACGTCCAATCTGCACCAGAAGCTGTACTTTCACCGTCTGGGCACTGAGCAGACGGCAGATGTCCTGGTGGGAGAGATGCCAGACTTCCCAAAATGGATGATGTAAGTCAGGCGTGGGCAAAATCCATCCTGTGAGCAATTTCACTCCGGTTTGCTAGTCCACCCAGCAATAAATAATTAATGTGGCCTGTGGTTAGTTGACAATGTTTTATTAAAATTTAAAAAATGATCATCTAATTAAAATAAAAAATAATCATCTTGAAAGTTTCAACAAATAGATTCTAGCCTAGATGGAAGCAATAGATCTAATATCTTATCTCATGATATGCTCTTGAGAGACATATGTTATAGTGTCTGTTTTAACACTTTGCGGTCACTCAGCGCAATGATACGACTGTGAAAAAGATTCGTTCCAGTCACCTGGCACAGGCCCGAGAAGAGCGTTGCAGTCACTCTCCTTGCTGGGTGACCAGACGGGATATTTTGTACTGCTGGCCATATGACTGCAAAGTGTTAATATCACTTTTGAGAGTTTTAGTATTTCAACCTATTTCTCCTAGTTTTCTCTTGCCTTAGCTTGTGAGACATTTGGAACTGCTCAATGCGGCTCATGAATTGAAAGGTGAGGTTCAGGAAATTTTTCACCCCTCTCATTTGTCCTTTTGGCCGTGCAGATGTTTTAAGTTTTTCAAACTGAAATTTGATGCGGCTTTTTCACATATTTCTAGAACTGACAAAATGTGGAAATTTCCTGAATTTTTTCTTTCATTTTCATGTGACATGCTTACCTTTTTTTGTATGTGCTGCATACATTTCTTTTTTGTTTTGTCTAGTAAGTTCAGGAAATCTTACTACATTCAGGTGTTTGAAAATGAGCTTTGTTTTCCCCTGCCAAACTACCAAATGAAAGAGAGGCTTTTCAGACATACTGTAGGAATTGCATTCTGCTAACTTCACAGAAAGAAAAACAAATAATTGTCGCAGCCAGAGTCTGTTTGATCAAGGGAAAAAATGTGGGAACAAATAAGTAAAACCGACGTTTGATTTCATTTTTTCATGGTATATATATATATATATATTGTAATGGTTGAATATAACAAACTGCAGTGGAACCTGCTCTAACAACCACCTTTCAAGACAGACAATCACTTGTACTACAAACCTCCTCCCCTCTTTGAATTTTTTTTTTCAATAATAATGACACTTGTCCAAGAGGACCATCTTTGTAAGAGTGGGTGGTTGGCGGGTTGGTGCTCTGGTGCAGTTTGCTCCTTCTTTCCTTTCAAACATCTCTATCGTCCATATCTCTCCTTCTTTTTTGTGTTTGTTACTCCCTTGTAACACTTCTAATCTTTGGCATTTATATTGCCTAACTGTGTTGGAAGTGCTATGATAATCTTACTAAAACTAAAAACCCTATTTAAGGCGACCACTTTTCTGCTTGACAATGGATAGTCGTCTTTGACAGGTCAGACTCTATGTGCCTGGTTTTTTTTCATCATTCTTTCCCTTGTTTAGTGGTGCGGAGGTGAGTGACTGTGGACGCTACCTTCTGCTGACCCCTAGCGAGGGCTGTGACCCTGTGAACCGACTATTCTATGTGGACCTAGAGTCTCTGGAGGGAGGCATCTCAGGTAGGTCTATATAAGGCTTTTTTGTGGTGGGAAGGAGCGTGGTGCAGTGTTGACTGGCAAAACTTGACAGTATGTTCTGGACATGGAGTTTCAGAAGTTCATGTCATATATTGACTGTGGACCCTTTTTTCCTCCCTTCTCTGTCTCTCTCTCTCCCGCATGAGAGAAAAATAGTTTTAAGGGGTCTTTTTTCCGAGAGTTCAGAGTCTTTTCTTTTAGATGGTCAGTGGTTTTTTTGGGGTATTCTTGATAAAACAAACTTGTTTTTTACATTTGTTTGTTGTCTCAGTGAAAATAAATTCGGAACACCTACGCTGAACTGTGGACGAGAATACTCGTGAAGCCCGACTGCTTCCCTAGGACTGGACAGGTATACTCGCTAGCGAAATGACCTAGATCTATACAAAGGCGTGTCAATGTTTCCTCAGACATATGTGAGCCTGGTGAAAGATACCAATTGAAGCATTTGTTCTTCCGTGATATCAGGCTTCAAAGGTCAAAAATATAATTTTTGACAAAAACTGATTTTCATTAAAAATGGATTCTTTAGCCATTAATATGTCGATGTCTACTAGGATTTGAGGTTTTTTTCACTTAAAATACATTTTTAAAGACTTTTTTTAATATGAGGTATATTGCATAATCCCCCATATGCGTGAGAAAATTGATTTTCTGAGTGGACACTGCGGATTGTTTCTCTTGTCTATTCATAAAGTCAACCCAATCACAGTGCATACCAAAATTTAGGCCATTTTTTCCCCTCCTCAATAGCGAGTAGTGCGCATGAATATCTAGAACATATAAACAAAGGGAAGCTTTGTGCATCAACACCCTTTTGTTTCTTTGGAGAGCAAATTTGGTATTGCCTATTTCTGCCCTGCACAAACCTAGATCTATTTCTTGAAAATTCTTGTTCAAGGTAGTGGTGAATTTGATTTGAAGATGTAATATGTACGCTTTGAAGCTGTTCTTTTATCTTAGGAATGACCTTGATTATTTGGATCAAGAATCTTCAAATCGAAAAGAAAGTATTAAAAGATAGATCTGGAACTAGTTATCATTGATTGAAGGGCAAGGAGGTCTAAGGTCTTGTCTGTAATCCATGTTAAGAACTTTTTTTTTCTTTCTGGTGTTTTACGGCACTCTCAACTGCATAAGGTCTTACGAGTGTGCGAGACAATAAGTATTTTCAGTTTGTAGAAAATTTTGAATTTTGCCCGGGTAGTTGCCGAAGCCTACTCTTATCGATTTTAGACCACCAAGGAATCTTTAATGTTTGCAACTTGCACACATGGCCTCCGAGATTTCTTACCCTTGTCCGAGAAGGCTAGGTGTGAATATTTCCTACCAGAAGATCAGGGGTGTGTTGCAAGTAAGAAGGAGCCAAGGAGTAGCAGTAGAAAGGCTGCAGAAAGAGTCAGGAGCGCAGAGGAGGGGGCTGAGAGATGAGCGGGTGGGGGCAGAAAGTGGAGCCGAAAGCAGATGACAGAACATTGATAGAGAGCAGGATAGGAGGTGAAAGGAGACAATTTTAGAGAAGTGTTGAACCCGGGACCTTTGAATGAGAGGCAAACACCTCCAGGTCACGAGAGCCCCTTGTTAGGAACTGACTCTGGACAAAAACTTATCCTTGTGTAATTGATTGCATCTAAATGACTCCAACCAAAATATTATAGAAATAAAATTATGTTTTAGCTCAAGGAAATATATCCTTAACGGTTTGGTGGAAGTTTCATGTTTATAACTTTACCGGGGGACTGAGGTATTCATATTAGAATAACACCTATCTCGCATGGTCCAGAAAGTGGGTGGCAGCTCCAATCCTGGGGAACTGAAAGTCAAATATGAGACTGGTCCCATAGGTATTAAAAAATACATTTAATTAGGCATTGTCCACTCGCTACAATGCCATCTTGTATGGGATTGTGAAATGTAAACATGAGTTGTTGTTTGTTTGTTTTTGGAAATGTTCAAATACACTAACAACTGTTCCTTTTTTTTTTTTTGCTATTTTTTTCAGGAATCCTGCCGTACGTGAAAATTGTGGACAATTTTGATGCAGAATATCAGGTTTGTGGGGTTTTTTAAATTAACTCAACAATGATGAGTCGGCCAAGACCTGTTTTCACCCTGCCTTTGTTTGGTTTACATTTATCCTTGATATTTCAGGACAGTAGACAATTCATGACCGTATTACAAATATGTAAGTGAGATTACTTGTTTTTTATTTTGTTGATGGCTGAAACATGCTTGCAGCCCTCTATTTTTCTTTAATTTTTTGTTTTTTTGTTTTTGTGTTTTTTGTGTGTTTTTTTTTCTTCTTTTCCTCCAAAAATTATTTGGAGAATAATATTCCAAGACGAAAGATCTGGATTTTGGCATTCCCTTGCTTGTGTTTGTTCACTTTCAAGTACACTTTCAATTACAAAATGTCTTAATGTATAGGACGGTCACTCCTTCTAGATAAAAATATGGCTAGGGCTATACCCTCAATTGTGTGTTGTCTTCCGCTTTTCTAATTAAATGTCAACATAGAATATAGACAATCAGTTTATCAAGTCCCAGATATTCTTAATGTTGATGTAATATGGTGTATATCGTTGGTGTCATGCACAAAGCGGCTACATGCAAAAATTTCAATTTTGTTTTATTTGCTCAATGAATAGTAAATGGCATGGTAGGCCTACATGTCACCAATAAATAAATTAAATATGAGGTTCGAAAAAATCTAGAAATATGTTTTTAATTGAGACTTTCCAATATGGACACTTGCAGCTGGGGAAAAAGTGTCATGGCCCAACCGATCATGTATGTAGCTGTTTCGGTTTCAGCAGGCCGTCTTGACATGTATCGCAATGCGTCATCCAAACCAGCCACATGCTTCGGCGCCGCGCATCACCCCCACGTTCCATACAAAATTGTTTTTTTCTTGGACTAGACAGACTTTTAAATTTTAATCCGTGTTCATCGAAATATTTAATATTAATTATAGTCCACAATTAAGTGACTTGTTTTCCTAAGTATGATTCGATTTACTAGATTAAATTTGTTAATTAATTTATTATGTATCTGGTCATAAGAACATGATTGACTCGACAAGCTCTCTACTTCTTCTTCTTTTTCTTCTTCTTCTTTTTCTTCTTCTTCTTTTTCTTCTTCTTCTTCTTCTTCTTCTTCTTCTTCTTCTTCTTCTTCTTCTTCTTGTGTTGCTGCGGTTGTTCCTGCTGCAACGTGGATGAACAAGTTTGGTTGAAACATTGAAAGCACAAAGAAAGAACACATAAAACCACAACCGACAAGAAATCATCAAATCCTTAGGTGAAGATGACAAACACTTTGGTGTTGAATGGACATGCAAGCTGTTCCTTTGGCACTAAGAAGCAAGGCGTCTTCTCTGTATTACAAGATTAAAATGGCGGTGCATCATTTCACGTCCTACAACTTTGCTACGAACGATGTGATGGACTTCTTCTAACAGAGACAGAAGGTCCCTCATGACGAACAAATTTGCATCGCACATATTAATCTTTTTGAAAGAAATCCTGACTACCAGAAGTACCTCTTATACAGTGATGATTGGAAATACCAAAAAGAATACTAGAAACGGGGCATCTTACAAAGGAAAGTGGGTTTCCGAGCTCAGTTGTATCGAGAGGCGGTTGAAGAACTCCCCTGCCTTTGTGTCAGCCCAGTACATCCATAAAACACTGTCATCAATCTGAAACCCCATCCATACCATGTGAAATCTCTGCAACACCAGTGACTTTCAGGATTTTACGAACATTTCTGACCTGGCATCCATCTAACCCAGCAGGAGAGTCAGGGACCCTTTGGTTACGGACTAGAGGTGTATCCTGATGAGTCACGGAGGTGAGCCCCACCAAATTCTTCCAAGAGGTCAAACCAACCAAAGTGGGAGCTGCTTGACCCAACACCTCTCTACAATAACTCCAGGAAAATGAAAAAAGGAGAAATACTAACATGTACAAACGGTGCAAGAGGTCATGCCAGTTGAAAACGATCCATTTTACCATGCTCAGTCAACTGACAAGCTCCGTACAATGCTGATAGGGAAAGTAGAGACTCCTAATCATTGAATTCATGTGATCTTTGTGTCTATGTAGCTTATTATACTGTTTCATTGTTTATTATAATTATACAGGAACTCAAGAGTGAGAAATGATGAAAGTTAAATGCACAGGAAGAAATGAACCCCACCTAGGCACAATCAAACAATACCGGTTACTATAGTCTTTCAACCATGCCCTGAACATTTAGATGCAAAGTGACCAAATTTTAAATCTTATTATAATTCAGCCGAGAATCGACCCCATAACCCCCCAGATCCAAATTAGAAAAGACCAATGTGTGCCAAACCAAGGCCCTGCTCTTGGAGAATATCAAACAAAACTGGAGGTTTCTCAAACAAATACTTTTAAAAAGTCTTGCCCTGACTTTTTAAACAACTTTAGTTTGGGGTTTTGTTTGATATTTTTGTAAACACATAGACGTCATCTTATCGACAATTCAAGTAATAAAAATAATGACCTGACACATTGCCTCATTGGGATATTTCACGTAGTCCAGCTAAATTTCCACACGCGCAGATATAGCGCCCCACCCCACCCCTCCTCTTATATAACCTAATAGTGTTGATAGGGCGTTTAATCCACCCTTTCACAAGTTCACAGTATTGGCCTTCAGACACGGGGTTGACGAGTTCTCCTAGCACTGGTCATATAATGTCAAATATAAGGCGAGAGGGCTGCTAGAATGTTAAATACAAAGTCCCCATTATGAATCGACAGGCAACAAAGTTTGAACCCACACCTCTTAGTAACCTGGCTTACTCTCAACCATTAGGGTTAATTAATTTACTGGCAAAGGGTCAAGTCAAAGCACCGGACTTGTCAATCTAAAGCATTTGTTTTAACCAGTCGGCTTTCGTTAAGATATTAGTTTAAATACTACGACTCGTCATCGCCCATATAGATCTATACTTAATTATGACAGCGAACAGTAGCACACAGCTTCGCCTGTCTACATGACTTCTCATGTCACGGCTGTGTGCAAAAGTGTCATGCTCAAACTGGCTTAGTGCAGAGAACCGGCCACCTGCATTGTGCTGCACATTTTTTGTCATCTCTTAACCGACTACATGCGAAATAAAACTATCGGTTGTGGTATTTAAGAAAAATCAAGTAGTATTAAAATTTGGTCCCGTCACTTATAACTTTACTTTCTGTATAGAAATATGTAAGATTGTGCTGCGCGTTTTAACAATAATCAGTTTTTTTTTGTCCCTCCTGTAAAATTTGCCTTTCTGCATGTGGCTGGTTTGTGAATAACACCAATGATATTCTCTGTTTGTTTCAGTACATCACCAATGAGGGACCAGTGTTCACTTTCAAGACCAACCTGAAAGCTCCAAACTACAAACTGATCAATATTGACCTCACCAAACCAGAACCTGTAAGTTGGAATAACCCTTCCACGAATGGTCGGTCCTGCCTTTCATCATTTTTGCTCTTATGAATACACACTGGCTGTTCAAGGTTTTCCTTTCCTGCTGCCACCTTACTTTTACTCTATTGGTGGTCGGCAAGCGCTCTGGTGTGTTCTGCTCCATTTTCCTGTCAAACGTCTGTGGTCCTTATCTTTCCTCCTTCTTTTATGTTACTCTCTTGTCACCTCTAAACTTTGACACCCATTTGTGTTGATAGTTCTGTCTGTAAATCTCTCACAAAGGCTTAAGTAAAAAACTTTTGTTCCCCCCAGTCTCTCAGACTTGCCCCTTTTCCTCTTATATTCCTTGTGGATTGTGGATTGTCCTTGTTACAACCTGCCCCATAGTTTCCATGACCAGACAGAATCATCACTCACCTCTCATCCACCTTCAGAACTCAATCCTGACACCCTCTTCCCTTTCCAACCATTTTCCCCTATCTGCTTTTTAAAACCTTTCTTCAGTATGTGTGTGTGTATGTATCATTTTTCCGTATGTATGAACAAATGTTTGTTTTTCATAGTTGTTTTGTACTTTGATTGATGTAAAGGGCCTAGAACTGTATGTACACGGGAGTAAGGGCTCTAAAAATGCATTTCGTTTTTATTATTAGTAGTGGTAGTAGTACTGAATACAAGTAATGTCATTTTTTAAAAATGTTTCCCCCTCAGGAGAACTGGAAAACACTGGTGGAGGAGGACGCCAGTGCTGTCTTAGAGTGGGCCACATGTGTCAATAACGACCGACTTGTCCTCTGTTACCTTCGGGATGTCAAGGTAATGAACCGTAATGCCCCCCGCCCCCCCCCCCCTTTCTTCTTCCCTATAGCTTGCCATTACCTTTAGATGTTGTCTTTCTTTTTTTAGGGGGAAAAATTGTCTCATTTGAGTTTCTGGACAATAGCAATGAATCATTTTGTTTAGCTCTCAATAAGAAAACAGTATCAGTTTTTATATAAAGGAGAGATATTTATGTTTTTGACAGTCAAGAGTAAATTGAAATAGAAACAAGGTCTCAAAGCTCTAGTCAAGGGAGAGATGGTAAATTTAAATCTACTGCACTGGAGAATTTTTGCAATGTGTGTACATAGATGCTAACCAGTACGTAAAGATTGTGTTTAGTACGGGGTTTTTTAGGCTCTGAGAACGCTAGTTTGTTATTGTGTCAGAAAATGTGTATTCTTTGTTTTCTGGTATTGCACCTTATGGACTTGCTGATGCAGAAGAAAAATTATGAACTTTTAAAAGAAGATTTGCAAATAGTAATGAGAACAAAGCCCATAAGGCTATGGGAGAGACCTCTGGCATTATTGTTTCAGGTCTGCTTGGAATATTTTGAATTTATTGCATGTACTTGTAGAAAAGCGTGTGCGATGGGTCTGGAGAGAGGGTTACTTGTCCAATGCCCATCATCTTGACCCGCCACGTACATAGAGTCTGTTTTCGTAGAGTCTGTTTTTTGGTTTTGAAAAGTTGGCGTTTTTGTCCTTCAGAACGAGCTGTATGTCTATGACCTGGCCTCTGGGAAACAAAATTACCAGTTCCCCTTGAATGTGGGCAGTGTGGCTGGCTTCTCCGGGAAGAAGAAGGGCACTGAGATATTCTACCAGTTCTTGTCCTTCCTCACACCAGGAGTCATCTATCACTGCGATATGTCAGGACGGGACTACCAGCCCAAGGTGAGCTATATTTTCAACAGCTTCAGTACCAGTGTATCCTTTTTTGGGGGGTGGGTAGATGGAGGGTACTGCTGATGAGTCCTACTTCTTTACTCCCCCTTAGTTGTTTCTCTCTATTAGTCTTTCTTTTTCCAAGCACTAAATGGCCATTGTTGTGTCAGTGAGCATCTCTTTAGTTCTTTAAGTCAAACAAATATACCTTTTTAGAAACTTTTCAGGGATTACAATTTCTTGAACACAGTTCATGGGTTTTTGGCGGGTGCTCTGGTGTTGTTTGCTCTTTTCTATCTAACATCTGTCTATTATCTCTCCTCCTCCTTTTTTGTGTATGTTACTCTTGCAAAACGTAATCTATTCTTCGGCACTTATATGACCTTTTTGTATTGCAAGTGCCGTAAAACTCTTACTAAAATTAAGAAGACAATTCATTCATTCATTTTATTGTGGATGTATGCAATGTAAGCATTTACTTAAGCTCACAGTCTGACGATGGTTTTTAATTGCTTTGGTGTAGTCTGCTCCTTTTATTTTTTTTAGACTTACTATTGCTGTCTTTTGTAAGTTGTAAGCTGCCTGGCATGATGTTTGCAGTTATCTCTCTGACTTGCTTTTAATACATGACTGACCATGATAATAATGTAGAAAGTTCTAGAAATTTTGCTGCTGCATCTTGTCAGAGAAATTAAATATGTGAGGCTTCGTGATGAAATCAGGCGCTCATCAAAATAATAAAATGGAAGAAATAGTCACTTTTCTGCAAGTTTGGCAATTTTTATGGAATTTTTGTTGTTTGATTGGCTCAACACCTTTTACGCCATGTAACATCACATTTATTTTTTAATTTTACAGAAACACATTCATTAAAAGCACAAAATGTGTAAATTTTAAGTTTTCAATGACTCTCAAGCTTTTGAAGTTACCAGATTTTGGTGGCCATTTTCTTGCAAACATTACTTTCAAAACCAGGTGACCCCCCACCTTCTTAAATCACGAATATGTCGACTTCTATTTAAGATAGATGGGTATTTTTTCATCGAAAGCAAGACAAATGAACAGGCTTTGAGATGATACCAATAACTCCACATGCCCCAAAATTGACAAGCACCTGATTCCACTGTGTTGTGACACATGTAGAGTTATTGATATCATCTTGAAGATTGTTCATTTGTCTTGCTTTGGATTTTTAAAAATCCATTTATCTTGAAGAATACAAGTCGAGATATTTAAATTACGAATGGAGGAGGTGGGGGTCACCTCGTTTCAGAGATAAAATTTGTGAGAAAATGGCCGCCAAAGATGAGTTATTTTTCATTAGCCTGAGAGTCCGTGGAAACTGAAAAACTACATTTTTTGTGCCTTTTATCAAAGTTTTTCGGCTAAATCCTCACAGAAATGTGTTTTTTAATGGGCTTGAAAGGTGTTGAGCCAAAAAACAAAAGATCAATAAAAATTCACAAACCTGCAGAAAAATGCTAGTTTCTTCACTTTGATTATTTTGACGAGCGCCTGATTTCACCATGCTGCCTCACATATGGAACTTGTGAAGGGGTGGGGGAGAGAGGCGTGACAGGGTTGTATAGGTGATTAATTTGTCATCCTGCTTCTATGTGTAGCCGTTACTGCTTAGTGTCCTCTTGACTGCAACAGATGTCTTGCTCTCTTATGCAGGTTTTCAGAGAAATCACAGTACAGGGATTCGATGCCAGTCTGTTTGAGACAGAGCAGGTGTTCTTCAAGAGTACCGATGGCACCAAAATACCAATGTTTATAGTACACAAAAAGGTGATCAACGTCTTTACTTTTGCTTTCTCCTTGAAGAAAATGCAAGATGGTTTTGTTTGGTTTATAATACCTTCTAGTTATTTTTTATCTATCATGAACTGTAATATCCATAGAGGAAGAGAAATTATAGACCTTCCTAGTATGAAAGGTTATTTCTTTGTAATCCTACGCTTTGTTGTTAGATAGTTTGTCTACATCTGACTGCAGTTTTTTACCCTTTTATTTAAAGGCAGCTGTAGCAAAATGAAAGGCACGACAGTTGCTCTAAGCAAATCAAGTTATTTGTTAGCCTTTTTTAAACAACAGTGGAGAAGCCAAAGTTAACCATTTTCGTTTTTTTTTCTCAACTCGTTCAAATTTCAGTCTGTATGTTCTGCTAGATGGTAAAAAGAAAAAAAAATGTTGTGCCTTTAATTTTATATCCTGAAACTAACAAAAAATGAGGAGGTTGGGATGAAGTATTTTTTTTCTTTTGTTCTCGTTTATTTGGATATAGATGATAAAGAGTACATCTGAAAACCTCATTTGTTTCAATTTGTTTTTGGTACTTCTACAAAAATTTGTACAGCATCTCATAATATTACATCTTGCAATTTGGTCATTAGAGCTCATAGTCTCAATTTGTTTGACAACAGTGTTCAAAGGAGCTTTAAAACTACTATTTCTGTGCCACTCTAAACAGAAGGGCTACAGTCCTCAAAAGCATTAACCTATTACCAAATCATTTATTTCAAACCAGCCCAATACATAAAGCACTTGGAAGGAAATATTGGCCCAACTCTAGGCAAGGAGTCTAGAGGGCCGGTGGTGAACAGCAGCCTTCACACAAAAGACTGGGATGTCCATTTAAAGATGATTGAGAAGACAAAGAAAAAAAAGAAGGCCGCTGTTGTCAAAGATTTATATGTTTAAGTTGTCTAATCTTTTCATGTTCATGGGTTGCTTTTCCCTCCATCTCTTTAGGGTTTAAAAAAAGATGGCAACAACCCAACCTTACTGTATGGCTATGGAGGATTCAGCATCTCCATCACCCCATCCTTCTCTCCGTCCCGCGTGGTGTTCCTACAGCATCTTGGTGGTGTTTACGCTTTGGCCAACATCAGAGGAGGAGGGTATGTTGACCTATGAACTCTGCATTGGCAGATTATCTGACAGTGGTGCCCGCTGTGAAGTGTGTTGGCCAATTCATCGGCTGTAGATTAGGGAGGGGTACAGGAAAGGGAGTAAAAAAAAAAGCTTTAAATCTGTGTACAGTTTCCTTTTATGAATAAATATGACCACAAAAAAAACACTTTTTGGTTTAGGCCATTTTGTGCTTACACTTTCATTTTCGTGACTGTACTTTGTTGTTGAATGTTATTTCCACAATCGTCAAAAGTCCGTCACAAATCTCAACAAAATAAATGAAGCTCAGCCCGGACAATTATGGCTTTCCATCCCCTTGCCTATGTCCTAGGAGATACTGGAGACATATGTCTAAGAGGTTACATCTCTGAAATAACTTTATACGAGGGATTGTCAAAAGGTTAGGCAAGTTCATTTGTGAAACAACTTGGGGAAATCAGGCGCTCGTCAAAATAATGAAAGTGAAGAAACTGGCATTTTTCCACAGGTTTGGGAATGTTTATATCGAATTTTTGTTTTTGGCTCAGCACCTTTCTTGCCCTTTAAAGAATACATCTCTGTGTGTAGTGTACTAAAAAACGTTGAGTAAAGGCATAAAAGATGTAAGTTTTCAGTTTCCACAGACTCTCAAGCTAAGGAAGTAACTCAACTTTGGTGGCAATTTTCAAACTAATTTTACCTCTGAAACCAGGCGACTCCCACCTCCTTCCCTTCAATTGCCAATATCTTGACTTGTATTTAAGATAAATGGATATTTTTTTCATATGAAGCGAGGCAAATGGACAGGCTTTAAGATGATACCTATAACTCCATATGCCCCAAAATTGACGAGCGCCTGGTTCTACTGCGTCATGACATTTTTACTTCAAGAACAAAAGAAAGCAATTGCAACTATCATACCTTAAAATGAAGGGCAGTACCTATGGATTGAATTTCTTTTTCTTAACATAGTCTCCATCACGTTTGATAACGACTGTCTACCTTTATGTCTACATTTGCCAATGTCATAGAACGTTTGCACCTAAATCACTTTTTAGAGTTTGTTTTACTGCTTATTTTTTAGTGGCTTGAGTTTATGACTACATAACACTTGTTTCCCTCTGAAAAAAATATTGATAATTATTCATGCATTTACATAATAATGGTGCATATCACCGCAATCCTCTTAAATTAAAATTTTGAGAATTTTTTATTTTTACGCCCTCCCAAAGCTTTATCAAAAATGCACTTTTCAGTGTCACCAAAATGCAGTTTAATGCTTAGGTCAAGGCCAACAATGTTCTTGTTTTACATGATTCCTGATGGGAACGACCAGAAAAACCCTGTTTTTTGTCTCTCGTGTAAAAAGTACCCGAACAGAATTTGTGAGGCATCGTGGTGAAATCAGGCGCTCGTCAAAATAATGACATCGAATATATCGGCATATTCCTCTAGTTTCACAATTTATTTTTCAAATTTTTGTTTTTTGACCCAAGACCTTTTATGTACATATAAAAACACATTCCCATGTGAATCTTATTGAAAAACATTGATTAAAGGCTCAAAATATGTCATTTTTCAGTTTTCAAAGACTCTTTAGGTATTGGAGTTGCCAAACTTTGGCAGCCATTTTCTAGCTAATTTCAGTGCTGAAACCAGGCGACCTTGCTTCCTTCGATTGAAAATATCTTGAGTTTTATTCAAGATAATGAATATTTATTTCATTAGAAGCAAGGCAAATAAATCAGATTCAGATGTTACCAATAACTCCACATGCCGAAAAATTGACAAACGCCTGATTCCACCGCGTCCTGACACATTTAAATGGATTGCTTGCGACACCGGCGATATCCCCTCCCTACCACATGCTATGTGCGCTTTACAACCAGTACTCTTTAAGTGATTGCTTTTTCCTTCCCAGAGAGTATGGAGAGACCTGGCATAAAGATGGCTCCCTGGGCAACAAACAGAACTGCTTCAATGATTTTCAGTCAGCAGCTGAGTACCTCGTAGCCCAGGGCTACACCTCCAGCAAAAAGTGAGTTCCTCGCCAGATGGGTTTTGATATCCTTTGACTTTTTTACCTATTGCCTTGAAGCTCCTCCTACTGTTGCTATGCAGACCTTAGACTCTACAGCCACTAATTACAGATGATTATATGAGTACCTAGACTATCACCTAAGTGAAATACTGAAAGTCATCTCAGCTAGAATATATATATATATATATATATATATATATATATATATATATATATATTATGAGAAGCATCGTGGTGAAACCAGGCACTCATTAAAATAATGAAATCGAAGGAATCAATTTTTTCCCTCTCGTTTGGCCATATTGATTAGTTTAGTGATTTTTTGTGTTTTGTGCTCAACACTTTTTATATAGCCACTTAAAAACTCATTCCTTGTGCTTCCTCAACTATGACTTTTTAGTGAGTTTGTTGACAGTTCTTTCTACTGGCTTGTCTGCATGAGTTGTATTTATTTATTGGCTGAATGTCACTTGACCTGTTATACTCAACTGTGGGGGGGTTCGTGAATGTTCTGGTGTAGTTTGACCCTTTCTTATCAAACAGCTATTTCCTTTATCACTCCTCCTCCTTCTTTTTTGCGTTTGTTACACTCTGGTAACACCTGTAATCTTTTTGCACTTAATTAAATAACCTGAGTTGTTTCCATAGTTTGGTAAGAGTTTTTCGGCACTCGCAAGTACATACGGTCAAATGGGCAAGTGGAACTCAATAATGGGGTTGCATGTGCTGTTAAACTCTTACTGAAACCGTAAAACATATCCTCAACATCTCCGAGGTTGTTGACCCTGTTTTCTCTCTCTGTCCAGGCTTGTCATCAACGGTGGCTCCAATGGAGGGCTCTTGGTGGGCGCATGTTTGAACCAGAGACCGGATCTGTTTGCGGGTGGCATTGCTCAAGTTGGGTAAGCGCTTTCATTAAATTTGCTTGTTTTTTTTTGTAACCTCTGTCAAGTAACCATCTTTTAACCATTTAGTACCTTTAACGGGGTAGCGGTGGAGTCTTTTGATTCGCACCTTGCACGTTTCAGTTACTGAACATGGGACACTGCCGCAGTATGCATTTCTATGAGGTCTAGGAAGAAGGTCCAATTAGAATTGACTAGAAAAACAAGGTGACATAGTAAAAAGTGTAGTTGTTCTTTCGTTGAGTTTTTGAGTGGTTTAAATTGACCCAGAAATAATGAATTTGTGAATTTTTAAAGTAAAATATGATGAAATGGAGGGTACAATGAAGTTTAACTTTAGACAAATCCAAGTAAATTTTGAAAATGCTTAAAAATTCAGCCTGTGATGTGATCTCTACCAAACAAAATAGCCTACAAAGACACATTGAACATTCATTTCTTGTGCTACAGTAATAATGTATTTTTAATTCTCAAGAGGAGTGTTTTTTGTTTTTTAAAATTTATTTGACGAATTTGGTGGATAATGAATGAAAACCTGATAGTTACAACTATAGACACAAATAAGTAACTTGCCCATACTGTACCACAAAGGAAACAGTTTCGTTGGAAGCTGTATTCTTTGCTTATATGGTTGTGTTTTTCCTTGATCATTTTGTTAAGATTTTTTGTAAATGAATTGTTTAAAAACATATAGTACTTTTAGAGGATTATCTCCTTTTTCCTGGGATGTGGGGCATTCATCAGGGCAAATCTCCTGGAGCTAAATGGTTAAATAAGCTAATAATAGGGATGACAAGTGCGTTGAATTTGTGCACACTATTTTTCTTTCAAGTAATTGAGTTCTCATCCTTGACTCCTAATCTACAGATTGCTTTTCTTTTTATTGCATTTTCAGCGAATCTACATTCGCTAGTAGTGAGTAGTTTAATTTTTGCTCTAATTATATCTTTGCAGGGTACTTTTGGTTTATAGTATTCTCAGGCCAATGTTCATAAGTTGATACAAAGTGATGTTGCTTGGGTATGTGTGTAATGATAAACAGGCTCGGCAATAAACTGTAGTCTGGGAGTGGTCTCATAGGCCATAGCTAAACACAGAAGATAGGCAGACTGGAGCAACAGAGGGAAATATGATATGAAGGATCGACCCGCTGGTTGTATGTGTGGGACAAACCTGCACTAAACTAAAGCTCGGTTGTCAGATTTTAGTTCAGACTTTAAAAAAAAAAAAATCTTATCCACTGATTTTGTGGGCATAACCAGGGTTGGTACGGGTCTTGGAAAACGGGAAAACTCTTGGAATTTTGTTTCTATTTTCCAAGACATGGGAAACTCTTGGAATTTTTGGAAATTGGTAAAATTCTTGGAAAGGTCTTGGAAAAACAAAATTTTAACTTGATCTTTTGTAAAAATATTTCCTTGAAGTTTAGAAGACCTCGACTGTATATATTTTTGCGTGCTGAATGAAAACTTTCTTCCAAAATGACACGTTATTTGTCTTGGAAAAAAGAAATCCGGTCTTGAAAACTCTTGGAAAAGTCTCGGGGAAAAAATCTGTTGCTCAGTATGAACCCTGCATAATAATATTGTCCATCAGAAGGGATTAAGTTAATGTTAGAAAGTCATTGTTATTGTCTAACCTGGAAAAAAAATATCTCTGGTTGGATGCACTGATTTTATGTGATTATGTTAATTTAATCTATTTCTCTGTCCTGAAGGGCCATTACTTCAGTGTTATGTAGTAGATCCTATTCCTGTAAAGAATTTTGATATTGCAGTTTTGATGGCTCTGAAGACTAAATTATTGCCAATTGTTGGCTTTATGTTGATTTCCCAGAGTACTTGACATGTTGAGATTTCACAAGTTTACGATCGGTCATGCATGGATCACAGACTATGGGTCTTCCGATGATCCTGAACAGTTCAAATGGTTGATCAAGTGAGTTTGCCTTTTGCTTGCTTGCCGTCTGTGTCTTTCTCAGTTATTTTCGTTTTTACATGTTATATTGAACATCTTTTGCAATAAATTCATTTTCTGGCCTTATGTTTCTGTATCGCTTCTTCTATTTTATTTTGTGTCTGCTCTGCGTCCATCTTTTCTTTATTTCATGCATTCATTAGTGCACACACATACACACGCATGCATTCATACACTCACACGCCCGCACACACACATACACACACACACCCACAAACACAAACTGTGACAAACACACACATACACTCACAAACACACCCACGCTCTCTCTCTCTCTCTCTCTCTCTCTCTCTCTCTCTCTCTCTCTCTCTCTCCCATCCTCCCTCTTTCTCTCTCTCCTTCCGTCCCTCTTCTCTCTCTCTTACCCTCTCCCTCTCTTTCCCTCTTCCTCTCACTCATTCTCTATATGGCTATTCATTGGATGGCATCACTGGTTAATTATTTATTCTTTCTATTGTTTCTGTATGTGTATTTTGATTTTTTTTTCTCAGCACTCAATGGCTGTTATCATGATGATGTTTTTCACTTTTACTCAATTCAAACAACCTTCTTTCACAAATACATGCCCTTACTCACACTCATGAATGCATGTCATGTGCATATAACAGACAGACATTACACACATCCATGCACTCCTACTGTGTTGCATGAATAGATATTCTTCGTCTCTTTATTATGATTGCTTTTACCATATTTAACACAGTTTAAAAAAGTGCAGAGATTCATCTGTTTAGATGTTACTACTGTCTTTGAAATGGCTTAAGGTGTTGACTTTTTTTTTACTTTCAGTTTCAGTACCAAAGTAATTTAATTCTGAGAAATCTGAGCCTGTGTTAATAGTTGTACACGGCTGTTCAGTTTCACTCTCCGAGCGGCGCACTTAGTTGTAGCCCGTCTGACCCTTCTGACCCCTGTGACCCCTCGCGGAAGGTAATAAATCTCGACGCGTTACGCCACTTCCACCGGCCTATCCCTAGATCTGACCGCTCCGCGCGCTAAGGGTACAATTTCCAGAAATTAACTGGAATTTACAACATAGTACTCCCTTTCTCCATCCCGTAAACCTAGGAGTGTTGTATACTAAATAAAAGCTCAGCATCTCCTCTATAACCCGCAGTTTGAAACCAGTTTCTATCTCGTTTTATACTCCCTTGGGATACCTATATACTACCACTGTTGTACAGCTCTGTGTTATTGAAGTTTTTGGATTTAAAAGAGAATTTTGATAATTCGAGCCGACAATTTTTGTTTTAACCTTCATATTTCTTTTTATAAATCTATTCTCTCCATTGTGCTGAAAAAATCTCAGGGTAGGAGCTAAATTTCCATGAACTAGCGCACTTTATGTGACTAGTCTAGTGCAACGCTCAGTGCAAAGAAAAACTCTGTGAAGCGGGAACTTGGCGTCTGACTTTCTTGTGTGTTTATAATTATTGAGCCTTTTAACATCAAAGATGGAACACTCTTATAACATCCACTTTGAGAATTTAAACAAGTTGTGTCGTACTTGTGGTGGAAGAAGTTTAAAAACTAAAGTTTCTCAGCAGCGTCGATTTTTGTGTAAAAACTTTAAGTTTGACTTATTGCAATATTATAGACTGAACATTGACAACGACACAGCCGACAAGCATTCCAACACTCTGTGCAGGAAATGTGGCTCGCGAATATACACACTACGGAAGCAAATTACAAATGCGGCTTTGAAGGCCGCACAGAAATGTGTAGAAGACAGTGCCTATGTTTGGTCCGCTTACGACGCAAGCATAAGCATTAACGAGTGCTCTGTGTGTGCTCGCTATGTTAAACTTAGCAAAGGGTGCATTAAAGAGCGCATTCCTTTGCTTACGGAAGGACACGAGTTGCGTTCTCCGCCCACCGCTCGTATGGCAGTGGAGTCTGCAAGCATAACGGATACCCCCACCCCAGATGTTTCCACTGTAAGTACAGGCGATGGTGCTCAGCCCTTTACCACTCAATCCATTGACAGCACATTTACACATACAGACGATGACTCATTTTACATTTCACCAGAAACTCATATTTTGACATCCACACCTAAAACGAAGACGAAACAGTTCACAGACAGTACCAGCTCCCCATTAGTCAAACATGAAACGACAATAGAGTCAACACTTTTGAAATCTGACACAGAGCCACTCACACCGTTAGAAGAAAAAGTTGCTACACATCTGATCAGACGAAAGCTTAACACATCTCAGACGAAAGGACAGTTGAGGTTCAAAACAAAAGGACAGCCATTAGTGTTTCAGAGGATAGTCACACACAGAATATCATCTGACTTAGCAAGCTCACCGACAAGAAAGCGAAGAACAAATATAATTAACAAAGTCAGGCAGTCGGTTGCTGGTAGAAGTAAAAGTGACATAGAAATGCAGCATGCGTCTGACCTAAAGAGACAGAGAGGAAAAGTCAGACGCAATATTTTACACAAAAGTGGGACGCGGGAAAAAGTAGTAATAGGGGCAAAGTTTGCTCTTGCCATGAAAGAAGCCCTGGGGTTGACATGGCATCAGGATAGACAGAGGCGTAAATTGTGGAGGAATGTTGGTGTCTGTATTCCGAGTGAACACCAGGAGAGGAAAATCTATGAAGACATTGTTTCAGGTAGTGTAGAAATAGAGAAAATCAAAGTCAACTCTGAGGCGGGAACAAGCAGCTCGCCAGAGGAACCACTGGCCACTGTCCCCGACCTTCAAGAATTTATCTTCCGTCTCATAGATCAGTATGAAAAAGATGGGAAACTGACGTGGCACAATGGCGGCATTCCTAGCGACCAAATTTGGATCAAATTTGGTGGCGATCATGGGAGAGGAAGTCTAAAGATTTCCACACAGATAGTAAACATAGAAAAACCAAACTCTAAAGAGAACACCCATGTCATTGCCATGGTGAAAATGAAGGACACCTATGAAGTTTTGGATGCTGTCTTATCCAAACTTCGTGAAGTAATTTCGAATCTCCAAGATTGCAAATGGAGAGAGAAACAAATAGTATTGTTCTTGTTTGGTGATTACGATTTTTTTTGCAAAATCTATGGCTTGTCGGGACCCAGGGGAACATATCCATGCCTGTGGTGCCTCACAACTTCAGACGATATGAAGAAAGGAAAAGGTCCAGCTGAAGAGCGGACCCTTTCGATGATAAAGAGAGACTGCAGGCGATTTTTTAAATATGGAAAAGGAAACTTGGCCAATGCTAAGCGATTCATAACTGTGTTAGGGAACCTCTCCTGGACATTCAAACCAGACACGTTGTTCCTCCGTATCTGCACATATTGTTAGGAATCACATTGAAACATCACAACCTGCTTGAGGCAGCCACACATGATCTCGATGTAATGCTGGCTCAGACCTTTGCTGAATCAGCCACACAAAGCAGGCAGACATCTCCTGCCTTTGATGAGTATGTCAAAATGTTAATTGATAAAAAGAGTTTAGACGAAAAGTTGAATTATTATGAAGGCTGTCTCGCATTTTCTGAAACAGAAGGAGACAGAAACAAGTATCGAAAGTGGGTGGAGAAATGTGAGAATGAAATTCATCAGTTCAAAATCATTCCACTCGCTCAAGGGACAGGCCCAGTGACAAGTAGCTTAGAGAAAGTGTTAGAAATTCATGGGATAGTCCCACAGGCTTATCACAGCAGATCGTTTATCGGCAACCACTGCCACAAATACATGCAAGAAACAGTTTACACTAATATCAGCAAACACATTCACCAGTTCACAGTAAGTCTAACATCTGACCAACGCATAGTAGACAAAGCTCAGGAAATAAGAGAGAAATTCAATGCACTCAACAGTAGTTTTTCCAGAATTCACCGCGCCATCTCTCACACAAATATTGTACACCCGTCAGAACACATTTCCATTAGCGCAGACATCGATTCATATCTAAAATTATTCCGCAAGTTATTTCCTCACACAGTGACACCAAAAATACACATGCTAGAGCGCCATTGCCTGCCATTTATGAAAGCCTGGGGCTTTGGCCTTGGCATGCTGGGCGAACAAGGGGGGGAAATGCTCCATGCCACAATCGCCAGAGTGGAAAAGAGAACAGTCGGCATAAAAAGCAAACAAAAACAACTGAAAGCTGTGTTGGAAGCACACCGTACAGACATCTGCAGATTTGAAGGCCACACTCCCTGAGCCGGCGGAAAAACGCAGGAAAAAGTAAACAGGACTACAAGACGATTTAGACGATTCAGACCATTCACGGATAAAACATTAGTTCCTAAACAGTTTTATAGTAGTATGTTTATCAAAATATTGACTATAGTAACATCAATTCAGCTATGAAGGTGTAAAGAACGGTCTTCATTCTCATGTGAAAAGTACTCGTGCGTTGGCTGGACTCAACTGTTTTCCCACTCACTGACAAGACTGTGTGCATTAATCAACAATAGCAACAAGACTTTTTGGTCCTACCTCATAAACGTAAGTGTGTTTGAAAGTTCAAAGTCTGACTGTGAGCTGAAAATGAAGACTGTAACAATCTGTCGGTCCATTTATTTTTAATTATTTTTTAAAAAACATTTTTGTTTGTAATAACCGATCTATGATGAAAGCCACTTTCCCCCTCTTTTAAACAACACTTTCTTTTACTTCTCCGTGATAAAAATAATACTGTCGTAAACTACACCTTCGTCTTCATGTGATCATTTGGTTGTTGTTTCATTGACTTTCTCGGCTTTCATAAGAACTGGTGTTGTTTTATGTGTACAAAACATAACATCGCGGGGGAGCCGCTGACCGCGAGGCCGAGTGCCCGCAGGTAGCGTGACCGGGGCGTGACCTCGTCTCGGAGGTCAGGTCGACCGGCAACTAAGAGATCCTGAGTGGAACAGCCGTGTGTAAAATGTATAGAGCATGCTGTAGAGCGTGGATATCATATGCTATATATTATAAATGCAAATATTGTTATTATTGCTATTCTTCCTCAACTTATTTTTATTTATTGTTCTTATTGTTATTATCATTATCATCATTATTATTATGCTGTTTTCCCAGGTACTCTCCTTTGCACAACATCCCCAAAGGAGTGGAGCAGTACCCTGCCCTGCTACTGCTCACAGGAGACCATGATGACAGAGTTGTGCCCCTTCACTCCCTCAAGTTTATCGCAGAACTACAGAGTGTTGTGGGCAGCTCTGATACTCAGGTAAGTTTGTGTGTCGGTAACCACATCAACACAGTAACTGTTATTTATAGACCTGCATGTTTGCCGACAATCGTCTGAAATCCGACAATCGCGACCCAACCCGCGAACCAGCCGATGCTATCGCTAGGCCCGCCTGTATCAGTCAATGTGCGTAGTGCGAGGCCTGGCCGACTGCCAGCGACCGCTTTTTCCCCCGTCGGCTTCGTCGGCACTTTCGTTTTCGTGCCGACCGCCGACGCGCGCACCGCCGACTGCCGACGTCGGCGTTTCCGACATAATTGTCGGAACCTCTAAGTAGAAATGTGAATACGAAAAAGGACGACAACCTAAATTATCTACTTTCAGTTTCGTGCTCGAGCGGCCATTTTGAATTTCGTTTGTTGACTAATTCAATTGTTCAGATCGTGTGGATTCATTCATCAAGTCCGACTCTCTTGTTCTAATAGAATCTAGATCTAGATCTAGATCTAGATTTATGTAGATCATTATAGACCTCAATGGAGGATTCATATTCCAATTCTATTGTGTCAAACCCTATCATAGGTTGTGCTGTAATATTAATATTGGCCACCTCTATTCTCATCCGGAGTGAGAATAGTGCAGGCGAGTCTTGTGGCTATTCTCACCCGGTGCGCGTTCACCCTAAACCACAGAATTCTACACTGTGATAACAGAAAAATTGTAGAATTCTGTGCCGTGAACAAACGTTCCATTACAACTGTAGCCTACTAAAAGCGTACAAGGTGCATCATGATGTTTTCATGCTGTGATAGTCTTTAATGCAGTGGATAAATTGCTCCTTTATCTTCTCTCCAGACTAATCCGGTCATTATCCGTGTCGACACCAAGTCTGGGCATGGTTTTGGTAAACCTACAGCTAAAGTGGTAAGTGGGGGGTTTTATTTCTTGAAAGAAATTCTTATGTTACTGATGGTTTTTAGTGATATTTTTTAATGACTTATTGTTCATAAGCATGTGTATGATCTTAGAAAAGCCCATAACTTGAGTACAGATAGCATGAATTTATAGAAATAGTGGTATGGCTATCAATTCTAACTCATTTCTTTAGGATTTTATTGTGGTTCAGAAACTTGTTTTAGCTGACCTTGGTGAACCTGAACTCTGAAAGAAAAAAAAGGTTTTGGGCATTGGGCATATCATCCGTGTTGAAAGTAATCCACTGAAGTCCGTTTGGGTATTTTTTACACCAGAGACAAAAAAAATCGTTTTTGTTGCGTTGTTCGTATCAGGAATTATTAAAAGAAAGAAAATTTTAAGCCTTGACCATAGCATTAAACTGCGTTTTGGTGATGCTGAAAAGTGTAAAAATAAACAATTCTCAAAATTTGGACTTAAATGGATTGTTTGATTGTGACAGGGACGACGTAATATGTATACTAATGCTTTTTGTGCTTCCTTGCCTGGTTGTAACAAAGGTTGGATAATGAGACAATTAGACTTGTAGTGAAATGTGTGTTCTTCTGTGACCTCTTGAGATTACTTTCTGTAAATGAAAGCCTAGTATTATATCGTTATCATTCTAGCCAGGATAGGTAGAAGTGTATTGTCACTTTTTAACTTTTCAGTTGAGTCTCTGGTATGGAAAATTTAAAAAGTATTTTACCCAGTACTTTTTTTTTTCCATTGTGTATCATGAGGCATTGTCTTAAAAAGCTCACTGTTGAATTTCAGATTGAGGAAATCAGCGACATCTACAGTTTCATTTACCAAACTATTGGCTTGGAGTGGAGCAAGTGATGAGGAGATCTCAACCCATCAGACCCGACTGCTAGTGTCTCAAACACCTTTTATTTGTTTGGCACTTGTTGAGTTTGTGCATTTGTTGAATTTGGGCTCATGAATGTTGACTGGTTTCGTATGTGTGTGTGTGTCATTTTGTTTTAGCCATGATGGTGATATCAAGTTCACTTGGTCTGACGTGAAATGCTGACAATGCCATGTATAGCCGCCTTGAGCAGAAGAAAAACAATTTTACGAGAGAGGATCTTTTGTAGCAAGAGTTCATACAACAGGAGATAGATATTGTGGAGACTGATTTCCATTAAGAATAATTGTTTGTAGTAGTTTACCCAAGAGAAAAAGAGGTAGTTTGAGGGTATAATTATTGCGAGTTTCGTTTTTATTCAAGTGCCAAAGTTTACTCGGACATGTTGGGGAGTGGCTTTTTTTTCTTCCTTTGACTGGCTTTTTTTTTCTGTTTTGCGAACTAGCAAATTTTTTGTAAATTATGTTTTTGTCTATTATTTTTCATCAGTGAGTATAGAGTTGATTTATTATGGAACAGAAACCCTCACTTTTTGCAGCTCTGACATTAAAAGATTTTAGTCAGGTTAAAATGTTTCCATCACTGAACCCACGAGACTAATATATATATAGTTTGAGATTGATCTAGATGCAGACAAAAGCGGCGTGTTCTTTTTTTTTTGGTTGTTGGTTGTTGTTTTTTTTTTGGGGGGGGGGGGGGGGGTTGGGGGGGGTTACATTTGAAATATTTTAGAATTGTTTTGTCGGCTGTAGTGTTCATGAGAAATGAAAATGGTATCTTTGAGGTTGGGGTTCTTACCCTTGTATATTGCATACCATTATACAGAAAATCACAACAATTATTTTATCAGGGTATGGAATGGTCTTTAGAGGCCACCTTCATTCAATAACTGTAAACTATCGGATAACAAAATTATTTTATGATCAGTACTTATAGGTCTTGCTTTAACTTTAACACTTTTCCATCAGTTGGGTCTGAATAGGTTTTTCCCGATCTGTCTATTGGATTTTTTATAGTAATAAGTTGTTTTGCCTTTTACATTGTGACGTCGGTGCAATAATGCGCTGATTGACGCACACACTAACTTTTAGTCTGCGCCCATTGATGGAAAAGTGTGAAGCTTTACTTAAGATTTTCTTTCTTAAGAAATTCTAAATACAATACGACATACTTATTGCCAATCACGATGTAGCCTAATGTTATATGATCAAGTTTCATACAATCATTTTTTATTACTTTTGTGAGTAAAACTGGAGCAATCTTCTGCACTGGTTGCCGTTGCCATTGCACGCACAGAGCGTGAGTTTGTTTCACATCAAGGGAAGTCTTATTTTATTGTCTTTCTCCCTGGGAGCAGCATCCCAATCAGCCCACTTTGATCCAAGGTTGACTGCGGCCCTCCTAATTATCTAAATTGTGTGAATGGGAGAGTAATATGTAAACAAATCGATCGATCTTACTTTTGCTGAGCCCACTCTTTGACTTCAGCCTTTTATTTTTCACCCACACGTGCGAAGGCACATTACTTTTTGAAAGTTTGCTGACTGACAAATTCTACCTTTGAGCTCTTCATACCTGTCTTTCAGCATTCAGATTTCACCTGATCTGTGGCAGATATTTGGTATTTTTTCTATACATGTATCTATTATTTTCCATTATACTGCCTTGTTTTAGTTTATTGCATTTTGTTCACATATAATGATGATGTTGCTATGACAAAAGTCATCAGAGAACATTTGTGAGCTGTCACGCAAGATAGCTTGGAGATCAAACAATAGAAGTCTGAGCAGAGCCTTTTTCTTTCTCAGTGCGCCCTTTTAATACATGTATGAGCTGTCAAGATTTTTAACAATTACCTGAGAGAAAAGAGAAATGCTTTAGATATAAGTAGTAGGAATTGGGGGGTGTTAAGTTTGACCTCTGTGAGGGGTTTTCTCATAGCACCTCACATATCTGTCTCATTCATATTGTGGCAGCAAAGACATGGAAAACCACAGCTTGTATTGCATGGTCCTCAACTACTCAACATATAAACTATGGGTGTGTGTGTAAAAAAAAAAAACGGGGGGGGGGGGGGGGGGGCTCATATTGTCACCGTTGCAAGCAGCCCACTTAAGCCCCAGTTTTGGAGGATTGTCGATTTTTACACACTTGCTTTATCAAAGATGCATCTTTCAATATTTCATCGTCAAAATAATGTAGTTTAGTGCTATGATCAAGGTTTACAAAAGTGTTCTTGCTTTTCATGATTCCCAATAGGACCAATATAACAAAAATGAGTTTTTTTGTCTCTGGTGTAAAATGTACCCAAGCGAGCTTAAGTGGATTGCTTGCGACAATGACGAAATGCTGTTGTTCTCTGATGAAAGGATCTGTTTGGGGTTTATCGTTAATTTTTAGGAGGCAAACTATTTCAGACCATTCAGTGCAACAAAGCTTTGTAATAAAATTTGAATAAAAACACCAACGTCTATGTTTAAATCATTCATAATTTTATTATTTGGAATATAATGGAAACACAACTCTTGAAAAGTTTGTGAAATTTGAAAGAAATTTGCAATTAGTATAAGCTTATTTGTACTTTTATAGTAAAAACTTTTAAGGTGCTTTTCTTTCAAATTTCACTGATGTAGGTTAGCCCACAGAAGAGGTCCAAATTTTCAAATTTCATAAAACTAAAACAAACGCGCACACACACACACACATACACACCACACCGGGCCCACATCTGACAATTTCATCAGGTAGGTAGTAAGTCAGACAGCCTGGTTTGATTGCTGCCCATGACCAGAGCTGCTTGTAGCTTTTTACTCACTGTAAGTTTACCATCACCATTATTAAAGTACAAAGAAAAAGTGTGAAAGTGGATCTTGGGTGCCCTCCCACTATCCACGGAAGCCAACGAAATGAACGTAATTTTTTCCTTATTATTCAAAATGTGTAACTTTCAGACATGTACTAACGGCACAGGTTTTCAACTGCAGATTCGTAGAGATACTGAAAAGGATCTTAAATTGATTCAAGTTTCTTTACCTGTCCTGCTGTGATGGAAGATGAATATGAAGAAGTTTTTTTTTATGTGGCCTAGATAATGTCAGGTGGGTGTCTAGCTTATATAAGCCATATGTGGCCTAAATAAGGTTAAGGAGGGGGATTTAGCTTATATAGGCCATATGTGGCCTAAATAAGATAAGGGGGAGGGGTTTAGCTTATTAAGGCCATATGTGGCCTATGTAAGGTCTCCCAACTTTATAATACATGTAGGCCTACTATAGTTTTATGGCAGTTTCTGTGCCCACATACCATGGACAGAAACACAATCAAATTCTGTATGATGTGAGGCATGCCCTCTATTTTTTCCTCGTTGTCGGTTGGTAAGGGGAGATCACTTTTCAAGTTCACATTCGCAATACTCGATCACTTTTCTGTCCCTGGGGTTTTATGCACCCCGCATAATTTAGCAAAATTTGGTCTCTTTTTGCTTACTGATTATTTTCCTTTATCATTCTTTGTTAAAAATAACAGAATCGCGTAATTTCACATTTCTGGGCTCAATTTGCATAATTTCAGAAATATTTTTTTGCTTAAAAAACCTCAGGACAGACTTTTTAACAAGACTTTAAAAAGTCCGCTCAAGCAGAAGTTTGTGTGTGTATGTATGTGCGTGCAGTTTTTTTTAAAAAACGGCCAATTAAAAAAAAAGTTTTTTAAAAATTGTAGTAAGTTTTGTAACACAATTAGACAAATTAGGTAATACATGTATTAGTGCCGAAGATTAAAGATATTACAAGAGATGAGAAAAGCAAACATAAAAAAAGGAGGAACAGGAATGACAAGGACGACATAGACGTTTGAAGTTGAAGGGAAAGAACGAGCAAACTACACCAGATCACCCAACAACTACCCACCGTGATTCTTTGATGACTTGGTCAACAACCCTTGTTCCCTCAAATAAAAACATCAGTCAGCAGAAGTAAAAGAATTCATATGACCTTAGAGTGTGCATCAGAATAACATTGAGTATGTATCTAGCTTAAGATTATTATTTGCTTACATTACTGTTCATTTATATTTATGCATGTGACTGTAAGCTTGCTTGTGTGCACGTGCATGTGTGTGTGTTTTTTTAATAATAGAGGCTTTTACGGCGCTCGCAACTGCATAAGGTCATATGAGCGCCAAGGGGTGGGTGTCAACAGAGAAGTCTTTACAGGGAATCAGACTTAGACTGCTCACCTCTCTAGCTTCAACAGCACAAGGTCTGATTCGACTGTCAAGGCACCCCGGAAATAGCAGGTCTCAAGAGAGTGACAAACATACAAAAGAAGTAGAGGAAAATGACTATAGTAAGGATCAGGAAAGAAAAAGTAGCAGTTCCCTGTTGTAGATCAGGCACAATTATGAGCGTGACATGAGTCAGCCCATTTACAATTCTACTATGCTTGAACGAGAAATGTTCTCCCTTTGGGAATGGCCTAAAGACACTACAGTCTGTGGCACTGCCCCGGGGATACTTTGTGAAAGACCTGATCCAATGTGCCACGATCTGGACAATAAAATAAAGATCATGTATCTTAAGCCCCGGTTACAAGCAACGATAAATTGTATCAGATTCGTCGTATGAGAGAACTGTCCGTTTTATCGAACTGTGTTGCCTGTTTACACGTTCCAATCTATCGCCCAGTTTTCTATCGATTGAGGAGATTCCTCGTCATAAAGCCACCATGTCTCTTTGTGACGACAGCGATTTGCGTGCTCTCTATGTGAAGCTTTTGAGCTCTGGACCTAATGAATGAAAAGCGAACACTGTACGTCTAGATCACGAGAGCCCCCCTTTTTTTTTTCTCCCTGTACATTTTGATTTAGCAGAACAGTGTCTTTAGAAAAGGGTGGCCATACTAGGCCTACCTCCGTGCTGTGTGTTGAACCGGAAGCTTGATTACGCACCGAGTGACCTTGACGCACAGCTTCTCCATTGACGATCAACTAAAAAATAAAATTGCTAAAATGTTTAATAACGCACCAAATCAGTTTTTTTCGCGAGCAACTTTGCTTATTTTGTGACGCTGATTCCGAATATGAAATCAGTTTTTACCTACGATATTTATTTTTTTTAAATTGAGCCCTGAGTTTAGTTCTGCGCGGCGGCAAATTTCAAAGTAAATCTACATTATACGGGGTGCCCACTACAGCTCGCCCGACTCGATCGCCTGAAACTGAAAACAAACACGTTTGTTTTTGAGGCGATCGAGTCGAGCGATCGGCTGATCTCGTCCTAAGTGGGCACCCCGTATCACAGCGCGTCTCCCTCAAGTGTGACCGTGATCGCACGGAAAATATCAAGCAGCGCTTGATTTCTCGACCGAGTCTCCAAACCATCGTTCAATCGTCCAAATTGTGTACAATTTTGTGGTTACACCTAACGATTTATCGTATAATCGCTATATCGTCAAATTTTTGGTATAATTTATCGTGACGTGTAACTGGGCCTTTAAAAAATTTTATCTTAAAAGACTAAGACGTGTAGTGTAGACTCAGTTCTCTACTTCATTGATCACATCTAGGCGAACAAAGAATTGCAATGGATAAGGCTAGTTTCAATAAAATGAGCCCAATCCTGAAAAATAGAAACATCTTAATGATTATGAAAATGAAAGTTATGAAATGCTATGTATGGTCAACCCTTCTGCATGTATATATGGCTGTGAATGCTGGACAATCACTAAAGACAATGAAAATAAAATGGAAGGCTACAAAAATGTGGTTTATTATGAGATTTCTGAGAATGTCTTGGCTGGAAAAGAAATCAAATGAGGTAATGCTTGATGAAGCCCACATGGGACTCTCACTGTCAAAAAGAATCAGGAAATGACAAAATATGCAGTTCTTGGGTCACCTGAATAGACATAAATAGAACATGATCTAGCCTTCACTTGCAAAATTGAAGACAAACGAAGCAGGGTGAGGCCCAGAGCTACATACTTAGAGAACCTAAATAAATGGGTAACAGGGAAAGATCAGGGTAACGCAAAGGAATGAATAGACAACCATTATCGCCGATGTCTGCCCCAGATATCTGGCACTTGATGATGATGATGAAGATGTATTATAACTATAATTTATAATTATAATAAATTTTATTTAAATAGCGCCCTTTCCCATACAATAATAGAGGATTGCATTTATATTTAATGGCGCTATAACCCATACAATAATATTAATAATATACATATAGCATTTGTATAGCACAAATCCCCGCCCAACAGCAAACTCTAAGCGCTTCACAATCTATAATATTACCCCAGCAGACGTGGGAGCATTCTGAAACAACCTCAACTTCCTGGGAAGCATACAGTGCAAGCAGCCATTTATAGGCGCTAAAACACTAACATACTAACAAGATCTTTCGCTGTCTATGGCCGGGTACCCACTCCCACCTGGGTGAAGTGAGGAAAATTTGTGTCGACTGCCTTTCCCAAGGACACAACGTCGAGCCCGCAGCGTGAACCCCCGAACCCGCAACCTCACGATTACGAGTCCGGTAGCCTAACCACCAGGCGACTGACGCCACAATGGGAAAGGGGGGGGGGGAGTTGTGTCCCTCCTAAGAGCTAATCGTTATTTCTCGACCCAACTACTTGAAACGTTGCATTTAAATCTCTATTGGTGCCAAAATCATGTTGAAAAAAAATCTTTATCTTGTAATTGTTTATATTTTTAAAATTAATTGCCACCGTGTTAATTACATAATAGTATTATTTGAACGTCATTAAAAGTTGCTTTTTTTAAATGCTACTTCAGTGCTGGCATTTTTTGGCGTTTCAGAAAAAGGAATGCAATAGGGTTGTTATCATTGTAGTAGTATAGTAGTATAAGAATATCAGCCGTTTCTTGATATCTTGTTTAACGTGCTTTTGGGGTTTTACGTTTTTCAAAGTTGGTCATTTTAAGAAGTGGCATTTTTTATCTAAATTTACACGGATTTCGTTCATAAAATCAAGTCTACATTAGATATAATGAACCCCCCCTTTTTTCCCCTTGTTACGATTATGCCATTCCTCTGGTTATGTTTATGCCAGATATCATTAAGAATCCATCGGTAAACTTCGGAGGAGGAGAAAAAGATATGGTCAAAAAGTGAAAATCTGATTTTTGAAAAACTGAAATAGATAGATAACGTCTTATATAACACAGAAATGTTGGGTTTCTTATTGGTAATGCATGTGCCACAAATTGTTTAAATCGGTCCTTAATTAAATAAAGGTGTAATTGCAAAAATTATTAACAGCAGTCTGAGAAATCTAATTTTGCAGAGACCGGCCCCGCACGGTGTCCCCC